CAGCTCTTCAAAGTGGAAAGTTTCACAAAAATTGGAATAAAATTTTCTACAAAACGACAGAAGGCAATGTATAGCATATGCCATTAGAAGTCTCTCTGAAAAGACAATCAATTTGCAAAAACAAGAACCAACTAATTTTATGTAGCGAAATGGGACAGCAGATAATCAAAAGCCCCACATTTTAAGTCTTCATATAAATAAAAATATTTATAGAAAAATTTAGTTACACTGGAAATAGGGATAAAGAAGAGGAGCTAACTAAGATAGAACATGAATAAATAGAAAAAAAGGTGAGCAGGAAAAGTATTGGAAAATTCACAAAAAGATTAGCGAAGCTATAAAAATAGGATCCGTATAGCAGGAAAGATTTTGTCTTCGAAAACCGACCTGAGAAATGAGGACATTGATCCTATGTAGCCAGTCGTTAACATAGACAGGCAGGTATCCAGTAGTTCGGACAGGTGGTGCAGCTACAAACGAGGTCGTGGAAGATACCGAAGGATTCAGTGCAGCTCGAGCCACAGGAGCTGTAGAAGAGGAGGACGAGACTGAAGCCAAAGAAACTGAGTTTGTAGTTTCTTCATCTGTCTGAAGCTTGCCCGAGACTGAGGCTTCGACGTCAGCATCACCAAGGCTTTCGATTGTCTCATCACAGCCTACCAGAGTGGCGGCACCAGCAATAGCGATGTTAGTGGCCACTTCTTCATCATCATCCTCATCTCCGCCTATGCAGCTGTCTTGGATAGCTAGTTCCTGGTTGAGTGGACTACCGGTGATGGAAGTTGCGAGAGACGAAGGCCCAAGGAGCAATCCTTTTCCTGCCTCGGCAGATGACATATCAAGGCATGAGAGCAACCCATCATTCGAGCCCATATTACCTGCCCCGCTGCTGCCAATGCTACTGACACCACTTCCCAATTGACCTGGGTGACCATGACCAAGTGCAGATGCAGAGTTAGAGGTGCGGTCGCCCTCAACACCGCGCATGACCACGACAACCTTTTTCTTCTGTCGCTTAGCAGCCAGACCTGAGACAGTACCTGCTTGTCCAGAAGAGCCCCCTAAAGAGGCGGCTAAAGCAGAGCCCGAAGAGCAGGTAGAAGAAGAGGAAGAGGAGGAAGAGGCTACATCGAGGGAACCAGTGCCTTCGGGATTAAGGGACTGCACACCAAAACCTGTGTTTCCTTCATTTACACTGCCAGAGGAGGAGTGAAGTAAACAAATAATAGGATCGCCGGTAGGCGATTGTCGGTTGTCATTGCAAATCAAAGACCCATTGATAAAGGAAAAGATAGAATTGTCCAAACCGGGCTGAAAAAAAGAAAATGTTAATGATAAAACTTATGAAATTAAAGTGACAAATATTCAGGACTAGTAGGTTTCAATAATATGAATAGATCGTAAATAATAGCTATAGTCACCTTATGTCGGACATGATGATAAGACTGTTTGTTGAATTTTTAAAAAATAAAATAAATACTACTCAATATGCCAGTTTGGTTCACGCAGCCCCACTTGCCAAAAGGTATTCTTATCCAGACTGGACCACAGTCTCATCAACACTCCCAATGAGAATCAAATCTGACTAGTGTAGCGTATAATTCCGACGTCTGCTTAATCAACAGCTTCACAAAAATGTGATATGAAAAAGGCCTGGCTCATGCTAGAAATTGGGTATACCCTGTAATCAACTGGCAGATGTGGCAGTGATAACATTTCGAGATCATACGCTGCACTACCACATTTAGATTCCTGCTTGCGGTGCTGTGGGGGAAAAATTGAAATACACTCTGGATGGTAAGCACAATTAAATGGCCTACTGGGGTCTATTCATTTAATCGTGATAAATTCAGCTATCAATCCTTCATCATCATATGCTACTCAGAGTTATACACTTACTAATAAGGTAACAAAATTAGAAGTAGAGGAGAAAAGAAAAATGAGCGCAGTCCAAAGAGGGACCCGATTTGCATGGAGTCTTTGAAGTAATAAAACAAATCGAATGCTCAAATAATAGTCTGGTTTCGGGATAAGTGCATTGTGCTCACCTTTTTAAAAGTAAATCAATTTTTTTATAATTACTTGCGAGCTATACAGGCTAAAGTCGTACTAGGGCCTCTACACATGTCTTTATGATTCGTTTGAATTTCTGCCAGAAACCTTAAGGAGTAAAGATTCCCCTCTTTTGTATGGTACACACGAATGGGTAGGTGAAAGTCGGAGTTTACTTTGAATACTTGTTATGTCAGGGGTTTCATTCTTTTCATAACCATTAAGTCAGAATATGTCCCTTTATTAAATTAGTAATAGAAGAATGAGATATAAACTCTCAGCGAATGATAATGCCGCATATATGAGTGTATATTTCAGAAGATAGAATTCGATTATAATATAATAAGTTGAACTGAACCAAGCTTATTTTGCCAATTAATTTAAACTCGTAGAATTTCCATGTACATTCAAACTTAAGATGAATTGAAATGTCGACTCTCCCTAGGAATTTTTTAATATACGAACACTGCCCCAGCGTTAGATCGGGGCAGAACAGATCAAAGAGTACCAGAAACGCCAATCGCCTGATGAAAAAGAATCTCTGTGAGGAGGCGCTTATCTTCGATGAAGGCAAAGTATATGATGGATCAAAGAATTCAAGCTTGGTGACCGGAGGCAAATAGCCAAATTATTTTTTCAAAAAATATGTCTTGCCTAAAGTCACCCAAATTTTAGTCTCCCTTGCGAGTTAAGCCTCGTTTCAATGCTTTCATCCCAGCCTCAAAGGTCTATGCTGCCGATTTGAGTAGGCTTTTTAAAAGGCATCACTTAACTCTAGTTCCTACTACTTATCGCTGGCTGCCGTGATCTTCAGTCAAATCCGCTTTAAAAAATTCGAATCTTAAAATAGCCACGAAATTGAGAAGCATCCGTTCATCCATTCAAATAGGTTCAAAGAAAACCACTAAACCACCAGGTCTCGTAAGCCAGGGGACTGCAGAAATCAAGAGAAAAATGTACAAGGCCAATGCGAGTTTTTAACCTAAAATAACGAATTTTAGTCTTTATATGCACATTTTTTTGGATGAGTAAAAAATCTAATAAATCAACAATAATTTACATTCAAAAAAATTGGAAAAGATATTCTTTTATTTCTCTCGGGAAAATTGATAAATATATATCAGTTTATCATTAGATAGGGTAATTATCTTATCAAGATTATGCTTATGAAGTGAGAGATAAATAAGTATTTTAATAGGGCTTACACAACGAACAAGAGATCTGTCGGCTTCCAAACAGGCTAGCCAGTCATCAGATATGAGGCTAGAATAGGCGCTTCTTGTTTCCGGACGTAAAAGAGCAGCACGAAGACGCCTTTCACGACGACGCAGCTGACGCAGACAGTCCGTTGGTACCGCAGTTCCTGAAGTAGATACCGGAATGTGTCCTGTCTTCGAAGCGGCTAAGGGATCTGATCTATCCGCGTTTGCCGCACGATCGGTGTCTTCAGATGCCGTATTGGGACTACTACCATTAAAGCCAGTGTCACTAGCGGTTGTGGCAGTGGCAATTAGATATTGCGCGACTGTCTCGTCTTGGCATACCTCAGTCGCTAACTGATGCTGGAGGCCTCGAAGGGCCTGGTAAACAGCAGTTGGATAAGCAGCGATTAGGCTTCGAAGGGCGGAGCATACGAAACGGCCTTCTGGCCGAAGCAGGCATATCACTAGACTAGGCAGCCAAGGTAGCAATACCTGAACATAGAAGACATATAGTAACATGTAGAGCCATAGACGCTGTTGTGGAGATAGGACTAGGACTTATTAGCTAAGAAAGAAGTGGAGCATGTGAGAATATTTTAATTTGTGAGTAAATATTTGGGAAAGGAAAAGTATAGCACTCAGATGTCTCATTACTAGCAAATATGAGAAGTCTACTTTTACGTAGTTGCAAAATGCAGTCGTTATTTATTAAGTAGCAAATAAAATAAAATAGCTTGGAGAGATGAGCTGAAGAGTAAGTTGCCTATCCTCAATTCACTCTCACTCAAAATAGATTGGTCCAAAATACGTTTTGCAGGTTACAGGGACTTCGCATCAAAGCGCAAGATTGGGGAGCCTATAGAAATTAACAAAACAACAAACGTCCAGAGTAGGAGGAACGAGTGTAGAAAATTGAGTACGAACTACTTTTGCTTATTGGATGGTCTTAAGGAGAAGAGAGGGGGAGTGTAGGAAGAGTAACAAAACAGGAGGCTGGATTAGCCTCGAGTCTAGTTCTGAATGTCACACTTCCCATAACATGAACATTACATACACACAATAGACAGTAGCACAGGCATAAGCAACGTAAGAGGATCGTAAACTAGCTTACTTGTGTAAGGAAACAGCTGCCACCGAACGCACTTCAGGTTCGAGGAGTAAACCCACTCATTTGCAAGCATGTAGAGTAAGGTTGAAGTGGTCAACCAAATCATGAAATGCCTCGTTAAGTTCGCGAAATTAGGAGCATAAAAAACCGAATAGAGTTGCAGCCCTACGGTCTCTGTACGGGGCAATTCTACTTTGGTTTTCGGTGAGACCACGTCACTAATTCCTTCCAACCAACTTTCCCTTACCTTTGTCACAATATATAATTAAATAATTCTTCGAAACCCAGTTTTTCTTCCTATATCAGCAATTCAATCTATAAAGAAAATAGCTTTAAATATCCGTTTCTAAATCAATCATTGAAAAAATTTTAAAAAATCACGATTTTGGAACAGCCGATTTTGCTCCCAGGATACGCTAAGGAAACCAAATGAGAAAATATGATAAAGAAAGCTACAAATCCTACTCCTTATGAGTATGTTCAGCTATCTCCGATCTTTCCGTATCCATTTTTCAGCATCATCGCTGGCGTTCTTTGATCTTTGTGCTGATTGTATTTTTGTTTACAGTCCTTGCAGTTTAGTATGCAAAATCCGGAGCACTCCATTTTGTTTACTTCTACATTTTGGTTAGATAAGCAAGTGAAGAGACTTGTCCTTTCCATCAGGATTGTAAAAATATTCCATTTCGATAGTAACGACTGCAGCTTCCGAGCCTATTCGCAGGAAGATAGACATATCCATTGTTTTTCCTCTGGTCCTCTTGTTTTCCTTTCATAATCACCGTCCCTTCATCTGTTCATTACCATCCATACGTTGCGCTGTACTGCTTCTTCTGGATATCCGTTTCCGATAAACATTTGAGTTAGCTTTTCCAGTTCTTCTTCCCAGAACTCAGAATCACTGAGTCGCAGGCTTCTTATGATCATACTCCGGAGTATTGTAATTTTTATTCCATAAGTATGATCAGACTGGAAGTTAAGAGTTATTCCAACATGCAATATCATTAGTAAAAGTCGCTTCTTGAGAGTTTCCTCAGAACGAATGACCTTCATATGCAAGAAAGTTAAGTGTCCATTCTCTTCCACATCCATTGTAAATTTGACTTTTTTATCCATTTAGTTTATGAAGATCAAGAAATCATCTTATTTTTCTTTTCCATGCGACGAGATAGCAGCGTAGTCATCCAAATATCGCATAATTACTGTTGGCTGCTGAGGTGACAAACAAATTCTATTCCAACTTGTCCATACAGACATTAGCCAAAAGAGATGAGCCCATAGACAGACAAAATATTTGCTCATAGGTGCGGCCGTTGAACGTCAATTGGGTAGTTCGTATTATTAGGTTGGTTAATCGGATTATAGAGTATTTACGGATTCGCTCAGTCTCTAGGATTTATAGTGTTTATTCGTTCGCTTTATCTTTGATATCTTTTCCTATTGTTTCCATGATGATATTTTGTGTAGGAAAAAAAATATTTTAAATAAATTTAACTATACTTTTGACAACTGAGCAGCAACGTAAACAACAAGACAGATTAAAAGGTTTGGATTCTAATATGGCTTAATACAGGGTCTTGTTTGAGGAAGATCTTAGGCCTTTTAAGTAGGTGACAAACCACATCTAGTTTATCCATGAGGACAAGAATACAATCAATGGTTAAGTAAATATCGTTCTTAAAAGAACCGTAATTTTGTAACCCATAAAATAAAACAAAATATGTGAAAGGTGGAAATGACTTGCGAGGGAAACAGCCAACAAACTAAATAGAAAAAAATATATACGATAATACTTAGTAGATACATGCCAGAATGGAAAGTGGATTTCTTGTAAGAAAAGTAAGTTAAGAGCGAGCTTAAGAACAAAGCAAATTCCCTTTAGGTAATGAGCAATTTGTCCAATATTATCAAATTGCATCTAAATAATCACAGAATGAGGCAGTGGATTAAAGTGCTCAATTTGATTAATAATGCTAAGATCAGAAAGGAACGAAATTCCTAAAGTCACATAAAATAAAAGTACAAGAGGATACATTTAGAAATATAGATCAAGCGAAATAGATTTGAAAAAATAAGGAGATTTTTAAATGCTCTACCTCAGGCCGAATTCTGCTGACGCGTTCTTCAAAAGTGCGAGCTAATCGCTGCTGGGCTACTGCACTGGTAGATGTAGAAGTTGTGGTTGATGTCAATGGGCAAGAGTCCGATCCAGAGCCTCCAGGGACCAAATTAGCACAAGAACTTGAGCTGGAAGTACCGGACAAGCCTGCTGGAGCTGAACAAGTGGAACCTGTGCTGGAACCTCCGGCACTAGCAGGTGTCATAGTAGAGGAATTGGGAACGGCGGTAGAAGAGAAAGACGATTGGGAGGGAGAAGGTAAAGGCGCATCATCCAGAGTGAGTAGCCAGATGCATTTAGCCAGATCGGACTGACATCGCCGTTCTACACCACCGGCTATACTAACTGCTTCCATGAGAGACTGCATTGCGAAGATTCCAGTTGTGGAAACAGCACTACCACGTTTTCTTCAAAACAA